CAAAGCAAAACACCACCATTACAACACTAAATAAATTGACCCTTGGCAATTTTCTAAGTCAGTCGTGTGGCATTTGCCTTTCACAAGCCTGAAAACTGCTTGTCTGCTCCAAAACCAACACAGAGCGAGCTTCCTCCTGCGGAATACAGGCTCCATTATCCCGGTTATCCGCTAACAAAGCACAGGCAGCAGCAGAATAGCAGCTCTTCATTTATTACACACAGTTGTTTTCTGCAGCAGACGTGGAGCTTGGCAGGCTGAGTTTCCCTGGAAGTCTCACAGCATCCAAACTCTGTGCTTGGTTAAATAAAAACAAACAGATCTGCTCCTCCCAAAGCCCAGTATCGAACTAACAACTCCTGATCAGTACAGAGGCGAGAGTGGCAGGACCTGGGAGCATTCCCACCCTTCAGCCTGCACTTGGGCTCTCCTGGACCACTCCATGTCCCCTTTTCCAGGCAGTGCTGGCCAGGATAGCCATGATGGAAGGGGAAGTTGTGCTCACCTTCTCCTTCAGGCCTGGGATGCTCAGTGGGCACCTCTGAGAGGAGCTGAGCAGAGGGAGCTCCAGCAACAGCCCCTTCTCCTGGCACAACCGTTCAGTGCATTCCTGGGGTCTCCACAGCCTCAGCATCCCCCTGTACTCTCTTACCTGAGACACAAGTCAGGGAAAGAGGAGCTTTTGCTATGTGGAAATAAAGAAAAAAAGTCCTTAAATCCAAGCTAATTCTGTCACAGACTCCTTGAACAATTTTCCCTTCACCTCTCAGAGCTTCCTTTCTTAGGCTGTTAGTCAGCAGGAATAACTATTTTTTCAAATCATTGCTTGTTTACTTTCAGAGATCATTTCAGGCAGTTTCCACAAACCCCACAGCCCAGCCCCACAGCCAGGCTTTACACACCAACTATAAAGCAATTCACCCCACAGAAGACTGATCTCCAGCAAGATAATCAGGCTCGGTATCACGAGTACAGAAAACTCTGGAACATGACATATTCCTAAATACTCGGAAGTTTTCAATGTGGCTGAGAAAAACAGGGGGAAAGACACCGAGGGTGCCACTGACCACCTGACTGCTTGTTCTAGAAGCTTTAAAAACTGAAAGTCTGGATCTCATTCCTGTTGTCAGGTTGTGAATCTGTTTTTTTCAGGCAGTCTCTTTCTGAGAGCCAGAAGAATTATTCCTCCTTTATCTTCAGCCTCATGGAAACTCCAGGACAGGTCCACGCAACTCCACCCTGTGAAAACTGGCGCAAACTGCACAGGTCGCACCTTGGTGCCCCCTCAGACTTCACCCTCCACGTCTGCCCAGCACTGGGATAATATTTCCTGGAGAAACCAGCCTGAGATAACACCCCCAGGGCTGCAGTTTGGGCTGTTTATTGAAACAGCTGCTCCTGTAATTATTTTCCAGAGCCTGTGGATTTCTGCTGGCCCTGCACGGCACAGAGAGAGCAGAGGGAAAACAGGTTTGGTTTTGTTTGTGTGGTGAGGTGAACTCTGGTTAGAAAAGGAGCTAAAAGCACAGGCAGTGTTGCAGGAGGCCCCTGTGGTTTGCAATAAAAGGAAGGTTTATTTCCTGTATGGTTTAGCACACAGAGCTAAATTAACCAACAAGACTAAAAGTTTACAGCATTAATTGCTTTTTCACTGCCTTTATACTGCCAGGCATTTATTCTTTAAATAAAAAACTACTTTAAAAAGAAATATAACATGACCTCAGGGATCCAGGTGCTTCTGATGCGTGTTGCTTTTTATCTTTGAGGAACTCCTATACCACAGGTATTACTTAACAAAGGAGTCTTTTTGCTGACTGCTATTCTAGAACTAAACCAATGAATTTTTTGAAGAGAACAAAGCTTTTTTCCTGAACTAAAATGCATACATGTCGTAATACAAAGGAAGAGAAAAAGCTAGGGATTTAGTACAAGTTTTCCTGCTCTTTCCAGGAAAAGTCAGGCTGTACTGAAATAGCACCAAAATCATCCTGGAGAGTAGAGAGGAAAGGTTCAGCAGAGCACAGTGTGTATGGGTAGCAGGTTTCTGACCAGCCAGGTAACTACCTTGGGTAACATTTCAAGTGCAAATCACCCTGGAGGCCCCAGATCCTTCTTTATTTTACTTGGACAAAATATTGTAACTCCAGAAACTGTGTCTTCAAGAGGAGGAGATAAATTCTTCTCACAAGAGCTGGCCACACTGCAGTTTCTGATCCTCTGGGCAGCTGAAGCAATACAGGAGTTGGCCAATTTTTTGTTGTAGCCAGGAAGGCCAGTGCCTGGGGGTTTGCTCTCAGGACTTCTCAGGAGGCACCTTAAAGTCACTCTTTATAGGAATTAACAAAATGGAGCATTTTCCAACTCGTTAAGGTCATTCCCATCAACCAGCTGTTCTCACCCACTGCATCCCAAAGGGAAGTGCCACCTTCACCCCAGCCCAAGAGCACTATTCCAGATGCTGCCCATGCCTTGGAGCCACGACCTCGAGCCACTCTGCAACTTCCCCCCCCATCTTTTCTAACTTTTGTAGATCCCTCCTGTCACCATGGTATCTGCCTGGGGTTTTTGTCTAAACCACAAGCTTCCTTCTGCCTCAGTGCAAGCCAGCATCTGCACACCCCAATCACAAACTAAAAGAAATACCCTCTGAACTGCAGTTCAGTTTTTAAAAGTTTAAGTCCCCCAGCTGTTTATCTGCTGTAGGATGGGGTTCTCCAGGCCTGGGCAGGCAGCCAAAATAGCTTCATTCCCCTGATGTTCTTCATTCTCAGCCTAATGCTCAATGGCTGGCACTGGAGGTGATGGGTCTCCTAACACCTTCCAAGCCTGATTTTGGTCCCAGATCATTCTGTGGAAGATGCAGATGTCTGTCCAGCTTCTCCTCAGTTTATACACGTATAAATTCCTGGGCAGAACATTCCCCAAGTTAGCTTTATGGATTTCCTTTGATCTTTCCACAGCATGCACAGCAAACCTCAGCCCTCTGTGGGCGAAGGGAGGCTCTCCCAGTGACCTCCTGGTACACTTTAATGTGATAGAAGGGAACAGAAATTCAGAGCAAGAGTGCTCAAGCACAAAGTTCCACAGACTGAGCCACCAGAACCGTGGGACTTGTTTCTCTGCATCACAGGGTGGAATTTCCAGTTCTTAATCAGGATTATCAGGTCACTAACAAGGAAATTTGCAAACCTGACCCTCTGTATTTCTATTCACATATATTGTATTTCCTGCCTAGGGAAAAACCCCAAACATCTATTGTCCATAAATCAGCTCCACTTGAACTACATTTCTATCCACGTCCAGTGAGAATGTTTTGGGATGTATTTTTAATCCATTCACGGGGTTATTCTGCTCCTCTCCCACTCTGCCAGTTGTTCTGCAGCTGCTGCTCTGGCCAAATACATTTGCAACATGTGCACAGGAATGTCTTGGATAAGCAGCATTAAGTATTTCCTAAGGAATAAAGTCTTGTCCTGCTGTAGTCCATGGCAAAACTCCCAGTGACATAAGCACAGCCAGAGATTGATCCCATGAGGTGGATACAGATGTGCTGCTTAAACCTGCCTGGAAACCACTATTATCAAAAAACGTGGCTTTATGTGAAAACTATGATTATTTTTCCCAGAGGCTTCCTTTTTGCTGTTTCCAGGAGGCTTTTCCAGTTGATTCTGACTTATGCCTGAGGCAGGAGGGGTGTCTGATACACCTCCCTGAACATTTAGGGAGACACCCCCGAAATGTGATGTTTGCCAGCATCTGCAAAATCCTGTTGGTCTTGGAATCACCTGCTGTTTCTCTCACCAAATGCTTGTTTTGTAGGTGAGAACTGCTGAGACACACGAAGAACAGCCATGTTTGCTCCTGTGTGCTCTCATTCCGATCTCCCTGTCTGCCCAAGAGCCCAGGAAAACAGTGACATTTCAGCTTTGATTAATGGAAACCTTTTCCCAGTCACACCCAACCCAAACAAGATGCTGGCTGTGACCTGGCAGAGCTTGTTCCATGCCCACTGTCCCAGTCACTAATATCCCAATCCCGAGCTAGATCCCACAGTGCACTTCATTCCATGTAAAACAGAGGAGCTAATGGCAAGGTTTCCCTGTGCAAAGTCTTACTCAGTCTCCAAACCTGGAGATTTCACTGTTTATCTGCCAACAGAAAGTTCTGAGCAGCTACTGAATGACAAATGGCTTCACACAACATTTCTCACAGCCACATCCTCAGCTCCTGCAGTGGTTCACAGGAAACCAAGAGAACTGGCATTAACTCCTGCTTTCCCCCAGGCTCTGGTTTTATTAGGAAAAGGTTCTTCCCCCAGAGGGTGGTTGGGCACTGAACAGGCTCCCCAGGGCAGTGGCCACGGCCCCAAGGCTGCCAGAGCTCCAGGAGGGTTTGGACAATGCTCTCAGGGACAGGGGGGGATTGTTGGGGTGTCCTGGGCAGGGCCAGGGGTTGGACTGGTGATCCTTGGGGATCCCTTCCAGCTCAGGATAAGAGAGAGGACCACAGCCAAAAGTTCCTCTCATATCTACAGTCTCTCACAGCCCCTCACAGTTTGCAAAGCAGAGAGGGAAGATTTCAGTCACATTGAATATAAAACAGAGACAGAACCTGTTTGCATTTCAGAAGAACTTTCCGGTTACACCAAAATGTCCAGAGCCTTCTAATACCTCTACAATTGCAGGTATCTATAATCACCCCCAAATTAAAACCAAACCAGCACATCCCAAACACACACATACATTCCTTTACACCAAACATTTTTCCTGGACAACATGGAATTAATTTTTTAAATGCAAACTGTTAACATAATTTTGGGAGCAGAGCCAATTTCATCCAAGGACAGAAGAAAGCTCTGCTGGGTTGGATCCAACACTCGTATCCTGTCTCCCCTGGTCACAGATCCCAAGGAAGAGCACACCAACAGACTGAGCACAGAGAGCTACACCACATCATGCTTTCTTCCCAGACTCCAATAATACACACTTTTGAGTCAGAGGTGTAGTAATTATGTTTAATAGCCCTTAATAGACTTCCCTCTTAATTTGTCTCACTGCTTCTCCAGCCTGTGCACAGTCTGCTCCACACCATGTCCTCGGGCAGGGAGTTTCTCCATTAAATCCCTGTTGGCAAACAAAGTATTTCATTTATTCTGAACCTGCCACCTGCCACTCTCACTTGTTCTACCCCAGTTGTTCCACTGGGGAAATTTATGAATAATCCCTTCCTGTTTGTTCTCCCATGCTTCATTTGCTGTTATCACGTTTCAGACTTTTTCAGTTCTTTCTTTATCAACTGCAGAATTAACAGAATCATGGACTAGTTGGAAGGGACCTTAAAACTCATCTGGTTCCACCCCCTGCCATGGGCAGGGGCACCTTCCACTATCCCAGGTTACTCCAAGCCCTATCCAGCCTGGCCTTCAACACTTCCAGGGATGGGGCAGCCACAGCTTCTAATTATCATCCACAAATTCTACCTTATTGGGTTGTTCCTCCCACAGTGATCACCTCACCCCGCTTTCTTCCCTTTTCTCACTTTTATAGATCATTTAAAAGAAAAAATTCCAGCCTTCTAAAGATACAGACTCACCACACTTTTATACAGTGGTTTGTTTGGTTTTTTTTCTTTTGTCCTTTCCAATCCTAAGAGTTCCTGACATTTTGTTTGCTTTTTATGGCCACAAATACAGTATTTTTGTAGAATTACCTCGTGCAGCTCCAAGACCTCTCTGCTAAACAGTATTTTAGCAGTTTAAACCTGATTACACAAGACAATGACTGTTTCTTAATAGTTTCCAAACTGGAACAGCTACAGCAGGCTCTTCTGGCACTGGGATTGCTTAGAGTTCTGTGGGAATCTCCTTGTAACTTCTGCATATTGCAAAAGCAGCTGATACATTCCCAAATCTTGACTGCTATTTGTTTTATGCAACTGATGTGTAATTAATTACATAAGTCAAAAAGAAAATAAATAATCCTTTCCTCTTATCCCACAGCAGTTTTGTTATGAAAAAAGATTTTTAACCTGGCCAAAGCTTGTCTGAAACTTTCTAGAAGTCCAGGGATTCATTCTTAAGAGATCACCCTCATTCCTATGCTGCAGGCAGCTCAGGTGTGAGGCTCAGCTTTCTCCTCTGACAGTGCATTGATTCTCCTCCCTGCTCTGTCTCTGTCCAAGCATCCGCTGGGAAAAAGCCTAGCAAAGAATAACATCCATTTGTCCTGGAAGGCAGCTCACAGCTCCCACATTTCCCTGAGATCCTTGGTTAAGCACAGCTGCCTCTGGCTCCTCTCCTCACTCCAACCCCCCAGCAATCAAACAACAGGTAACAGTCACCATTTCACAGCCCAGCGCCTTTAGAACTTCCAGAGAGGCTGATTCGTGCACAGCCCCAGTAAAGCTGCACTTCAGAGAGTTAATTAAAGAAATAAATCATCCCATCCACGTCTCACAGGGGAAATAAGTCCAGGAAGGAGTTGTAAGTCAGGATGTAAAGACAACCTGAGCTGTATCCGGACAGCACTAACTCAGTCAGGCCAGTTGGATGCTGACCCTTCACATTGTCTTCTGGTGCCTTAAAGCTCAGTCACCCTCCTGCCTCCTGAATGTCAGAAAACAGTGAGCTGGAAGTGCTGTCCTGGGAAGGACGTGCTCCTGGACTGAGGCTTTTTTTCTGGGACAAATAACAGTAGATAAATATTACAATTAAAACTCTTTCAGGCTTGATTAAATATCTGACCAAACAAAAGCACTTTAAATTTAATCATAAACCAAAGGTCTCCCCTGAATACAGCTGAGGTTAAACAAATGGCATTAACACCAAATGTTCACGTTTGAGCAGAAACATTCCTGAATAGCAGAATATTGATATGAGTTGGGGATTTGGTTCAGGTTTCCAGCCCTCTGATCAGTGCCAGGAACTGAGATCAGCAGTTCCACGGCTGGGGAGCACAAAGCCCAGGGACATAAGGCAGAGCTCACCTCCCTTGGCTACAGCAACAACACATCCTTAGTCCTTCTTTTTGAACATACAGGGGAAAATTTTAGTTCTGTTTTGAGCTTGAACAGCTGAATTCTATCAATGTTTGTGTAGCTCCATTTGTCTCCTGTCTCCCCAGTTCCTTCTTTTCTGGGAGGAGTAAGAATAACCTTGTAGAGACTCTTGGTTTTGGCACCCTCTGCTCGTTACACACATGCCAATTCACTGACTTCTGTAGGAATTTTCTGAGTGTAACTTTATTGCCTCAGGACAAGCAAAGTTCCTTGCTCAACTTTATAAATATTTATTTCAAGCCCCCAAGTGCTTAGCCCTGACATGACACTTTGTGGATGATATCTCAGAACACGCTGCAGATCAGAGTTCAAGGAAAGCCAGCCCAGGCTGACAACATCCACCTTCTTCCCAAAATCTGCCTTTTCTCCTCAAGCAGAGACATAATCCTGATGCACCACCTCAGAATAAACACTGCCCAACCTGCATATACAATGTATAGAAATTTTCAGCCAAAAGCCTTTCCCAGCCTTAACTGTGGAAGTGTAATTTTCCATCTTTCTCCTGCTGTCAGAAAACTGGTTTTATTTAAACACAGTAGAGCGTTTTCTATTTTGATATATTGAAACTATTGCAACAACTGCAGCCAATTTAATCTCTGGCTCCATTAAAAATTTGAATGCAATATTTCAAGAAAAATATTTGACTTATCTAGAGTTTGGAACAATGATTTTAGCAAAAAACAACCCAGGAGGCAGATGGAACACATCCGAGCTCAACCCGTGTTATGAATTTTGTCTTCCACCCCGAGAGCTCTAACTGAGAACAATTCCTACCGTTTGATTGAGAGAAATCCAGTTTGGTGAACACTGGGCGTCCAAAAAAGTCCTTCTCACATATTATGTTTCCACAACAGAGGGCCTTAAAATCAATACCAAGCCTAACAAGTCAAGTCTTCACCCCCGGTTTATTACTGGCATGAGCTGAGTATCACCAAAACAAACAGGGAGAGACTGTTTTTAGAACTACAGATGCAGCTTATTTCCCCCACAATATGTGGGTTTACCTAAACTTGCATCCCATTACAAGACTGTTTACCAAAGATTCCTCTCGGTGTTCTCTTCCCACAGGAGCTGCCCTGCCAGGCAGCCGAAGGAAGTTCTCGAGCTGCTCCCCGTCTGCTGCTCGGGCCTTCCGCGGTGACCGCCGTGAGCACACATCCGGCCGGGACAGCCACGGGGAACGCTGCACGTGGCAGCAGAGCAGAGACACTTGTGATGCACACTGGGCACAGCTGCGTGCACAGAGACACCCTGAGATGCCCTCAGAGCCACCTCCTGCCACGGCCCAGCACCTTCGAGGTCTGTTCCGACCTGAGCGCTTCTCTGATTCCGTGAAACCTCACAGCAGACAAGCAACACAAACACGAACCACACAGACTCTGCTCATTCTACCTTAGGGTGGCAAGATGTGCATTTATTGTGATACGCTGAGGGAAATGGCCCTTGAGGGATTTCAATGCAACATAGAATTTTTTTCATACAGTCTCCGTCTCTCCATGTATTACTTCCCTGGGATTCACACTTCAGCAGGACGAAGCGGCTTCGCCAGCCCTCCCAAAGCCCTGAGTTGTTGAGCAGGGACAAGAGCTGGTGGTTACATACCGCTTGTTTCCAGCTGCTCTTCTCCAGAGCTGTTCTCCCCTGGAATGCCGTAGGAAGCTCTTGCCACTGGCTGTATATCCCCAGCAGCACCAGCAAGTCCACCAGTGCCTTACTGGGTTATGAGGGAAAAGAGGAGAGTAATTGTGAGCAAATGTTCACTCCCCTGACCACAGGCCACTTTCCTCTTCACTTCCTGGTGGGTGGGGAGAAGACCTAAACCCTTTCCCAAGCAAGAAAACAATACAAGAAAAACATGAACCCCCCACATCTTTAACTGTGTGAATGAAAACATAAACTAAAATTTCCTTTCCTCTCTAAAACCAGCCCTAAAGAGCAGCGAGTCTGTGTAACAAGGCACTCTGGAGATCATCTCTTCTCCTTGCCTTGTCTGCAGCCGCAGCAGGAGGCGAGGAAGGAAAACCACCCACGCAGCCATCAAAACAAGGGAGGGGGGAGAGCCTGGAGACATGGAAACATCACAAAATCACCAAGATGAAGTGCCTGGCTCTGAGGAGTGTCTGGACACCAGAGGTTTGATGTGGCATTTTCCACAGCCCACAGCACTGGCAGTGGCACAGGGGAGAGCTCAGCCCACCATCTGTAGTGCTGGCACTTTTGCTTCCAGCCTCCAGTTTCCTCATCCACACTCCTGGAGCTTGCAAGGGGATGGGGGATGAACAAACACAATTCTCTTGGACAAAGTCTGTAGTCAAGACCCGGTGCAGTTGCTGGCAACAAATGCACACTCGTAAAACTGAGAAGAATTCAAACAGCTGGCTCCCTTCCACGGGAGATCAATAAACCTGGCAGTCCAGCTGCCTCCAGGAAGAAAGGGATTCTGGTGCTGCAGGAAGGCTGGGCAATGTCTTACCCAAAACCCAACAAAATACCAAAATCCTATGGAGAAAATCACAGACTGGACTTGTGCCATTCAGCTTCTTCCCTCCTTGTATCCTTTTCTTCCCGAAGCAAGAGTCTAATGACTCTTAGGCCTCTCCTCCTTTTGCCTCTTGAAGGATTTGAATAGCCTGGACAGTCCCTGCTCCTGCAACACTTGGGGCATTTGCTTCTGTCATTTATGTCCAGAGCCTCCAACACTGTCTAAGGAACACTGTTCGCTTCCATTGTAGGTCCCCCAGGAAGACACCTGGACAGGAGCTCCACATGCATATTCCCACACTGGGTGTCCTCACCTCATCTTCAATGCCCAGGTGCCACTGCCCAGCCCACAACTCACCAGTGCAACACCCACATTGAGAAAGATTAAAGAGAAGGGGCAACTTCCCATGTAAGACTTCCAAACAGCAGGAAACTGGTGCTGTAACCATCATACTGTGGGCTGAAATTCAAATGGAAGGCCAGACAACACACACTTCACCAGAAATCCCTTGAAACACGCTCATAAAACGCCTTTGCTTAGACATGAGCTTCACACAGTATTTTTTCCTCAGTGATACACCCTACCGAACATAAACATTATGGAGAACAGTTCCTTGGGGCAACATTTTATATACTGTGGCAGATTGTACCACATAACAAAGCAGGACTTTGCCAATAACAGACCACAAAATTTGGGCACCTTCCAAGACTCACAGCCCCAGGGTGTGAGGTGTGAAGCAGTCCCAACCCTTTTCCCTTCAGTGGGAGACGATGCTTTCCAGTCTCACAAAAGCTTCTCCAGCTTGCAGAAACAGGGCAGGAAGGAGGAGATTTGATACTTATTTCTGGTTTGCTTCTACTCAGCCAAATTAGCCTTTTAAATCCCAAATTAACACTTTGCCGGGCTTCACTGACAGTACAAAGCTGACTTAGCAGGAGAGAGAGCCCTTCCAGGGTTGATGTTACCCAGTTCAGTCCCTTTGCTGCAAACAGCCTTGTCTCTGTTCCATCTCTCAGTAGCAGCCTCCTCTGATGTGGATTTTCCATTCCTGGAGTGAGTTATTTCAAATTCAGCACAGGAAAGGCTCCTCTGGCCCTCCGAGCAAAGCCGGTCTCACCAACAGTTTAAGACCCATAAAACCAACTCATTCCCATGGAGCACATTTCCCTTCAAAGACGTGCCTCTCTGTCTTACTTTAGGTTGAAACATCGATTAAAATTCTTATACTGGAAAGAAAACATCACCCTGTGAGGTGCTGGCTGGTCCCTGCCAACAGAAACACCCTCAGTGCACAGAGGAAACCAAGAAATGTGCAAGTCCTGCTCATTACCACAACATCACTTGAGCTGTTCCAGCTTCAGACACAGGCATGAGTATATAAAAAAATATATATACACGTCATAAAACTGGCAATTATGTGCACGTTACACTCAAATTCCCCCAAAACAGACTACACCAACGCTACATTCAAATTCCACAGTCAGGGATGCACAAAGGAGCCTAAAAAGCAGCAGTTAGTCAGACTGGAGCCTTGTAACATGTACAGCCCACACAAGGACAAGGCAGCACCACAGAAATCGCTCAGCTAATAATTAAAAACTTCATTTAAAACCGTGAAAACACAGTCAGGATTGAGATCAGTGAGCGCACCCCAGAGCTCAGTATCACCACACAGACAGAAATCAATAGGTGCCATGAAGAGAGCACCGATAAAAATCTACAGCAACTGAAGCAGTCAACTTGAAACCTATTAACAGCTGCATTAGAAAGAAAGAATTACTTTTTCAATCTGCTAATGACTGCTTCTTTTCTTCCAGATGATCATTCTGTATGAATCCCACAGAAATCCCTCTGGATCCCTTTTATGAATGAACTACTCGGGATTTCAAGACCCTTTCCAGAGCAGCATCAGACAGGTATCTGCTTTTCAACAGCAGCACCAGCACGGCACTGACATCAAGATTAACAAAGATGACCCGGGAAAGGAGGGACAGCAGGGACACTTGAGGCACAGCCTCCTTTGCCATCTGTGCCCCATGGCCACAAGCTACCAACTGGTATTTCATCCGCTGAAGACCATTGATCAGTGGCTGCGCTCAGGCAGAGAAGGAGAATTCAGTGACAGTTTGTTTCTATCTTCTGCACATCACAATCCCAAAGTTTGGGGACCTGCACCTGAAGCAGAGAGTCTAACTGTGACAGGTCATCACACAGACACAGCTCGGTCTCTTTATCTCCTCCCAGTAAAAGTCACTGATCATTAACTGCAATAGCTGGCATTTCCCGAGTCTCTGGCATTTTGCAGTGCTCCAGCACATCCATACCAAGTGTGACCAAATCCCCTGGATTTCAGCCTTGGAGCATCTCTCACAGATCAAAACGATCTCACAGAAACCAGACGATCCTGAGGACACTGAGCTACACCTGAACGTAGGCAACTGCCCCAATATTTCTGTCTATTTGCTTATTTTTCTTTTGAAAAACAGAGTCCGAGGTCTGCCTACAAGACATTGGAGGCACGAGAAGCGAAACCCGGTGTTCCCACACGGCAAGAACCGGCAGCTCCCGGGACAGCGGCCACACGCCCGCCACCACCCACGAGGAATAAACTCATCCAAACCCAACGATGGGCGACACATTTAGAATCGAACTTTAAGAACAACAACAAAAAAAAAAACCCAAATACTGGAGGCTCTGCCTTCCCAGCGCAGGGCGAGGGGTGCGAATCACGGAGGAAACGCCGCTTTCCCTCGGCGGCAGCCGCAGCTCCGCCCGCGCCGCGCCGGGAGCCGTGAGGGGACCGCGGCTGCCCCGGCCTCCCCCAGCACCCCCCGCCCGGCACCGGCTCTCCGGGGGCGCCGCTTAC